GCGCGGGCCGCGGGCACGTGCGAAGGCCGGCGGCGGGCGGGACCGGGGTTGGGCCCGAGTTGCCCCACACCACGCGCACGTAGTCCCAGTCAAGATAGGGGCAGGTGATGGGGCCGGTCTCCGGCGATGGCGTGCGCGGCTCGGGCCCTCCGGAGGCCGCGGAGAAGGAGCTGTAGGCCGAGTCGGCGCGTGCGGACAGACGTCTCAGGTCCAGGCTGGGAGTGGAAGAGGCCAGCGAGGCGCTGTCGCCCTCAGGACCCAGAGCATCCATGGCTGCGGGGATGGGACCTGGCTCTGTGGGTCCTGGAGGAGCAGAGTGCGGCGGATGAGGAGCTCTGGGTTGGTGTTAGGGCAGCCGGTGCACCACGTGAGGGCGTGCGGTCTGCCTCGCTGGGAGACCCCACCTCGTGGATTTGGGGGTCCGAGAAAGCACGGGCGGTAGTTAAGCCCTGCACAGCATCTCTGGAGGTGGGTCGACTCCAGCCTTCAACCAGAGGCCGGCCGGCTGATGCCCACCGGGTCTCCCCAAGGCGACGGGCAAAAGCACCTCCTCTCCTTCCTTTTCCAACCTGTCCCACCCAGGCTGCTTCCCAGAGGCGGTCTGGTTCTCCTCTGATCTCTCTGCTAAACAATGGTTGGGAACCTTCTGAGGTTGTAGAGGTGCCAAGAAAGGAGGGGGCTGGGGGTGGGTACGACCCTGGTCCTAGGGCAGGGGCCTTGCCACCTTCTTCCTTCCGACATATGTGCTAGCTATGTCCAGGTGCTTATAGAAAGACCTCTTTTGATTAGAATACTGTTATCTCCGCTTTATAGAAGATCACGCTGAGGCCCTGCGGGGTACGATTTGCACCAGGGCACACACACAGGGCAGAGCCCTGCCTGGAATCTGGACCCACCTCTATGTTCACTGCAGCCAGAATCAATTTCCTAGAAGCAAACTGCTGAAAAGGAGTTTCCCACTCCCCACCCCCTCCATCCCACCGGCCAAAAGCTTCCTATAAAGCCTGAATTCCTCTGCTACTGGCAGATTCCAGGAGGGGGTGGGGAGGAGTCCCTGCTTCAGAGATGCTGGCTTTTGTCTGGGAATGATGGCTCATCCCCCTCCTTTGTCCTGCCACTCTGCTCCTCAGCTGCTCAGAGATCCTCTGACCTTTGGGGATTTCAACAGTGTCCCGAGCTTGCCCCATGACATGACTCATCACTGCACAGAATTGTTGGCTGGCTTGTGATTTCCTCTGCCAGTCCCACCCCTGAGCTTCCCGAGGGCAGGCCCTGCTCTTGTCCAGCTCTGTACCCTCCATGCCTGGCACACAGTCATTAAAACTCAAACTCCACTGCCATTGAGCAATTCCGGCCCATGGTGACCCTTTAGGGCAGGGTACAACGACCCCTGCCTCAGGTACAGCCTGAGACTAACTTTTTAGGAGAGTAGAAATCCTCATCTTTCTCCTTCAGAGCCACTGGTGTTTTCAAACTGTTGACCTCGAAGTTAGCAGCCCATCACATAACCACTATGCCACCAGGGCTTCTCATGTAGTCATCAGTGTGAAATAAACATTAGTTAAATGGCAAAGGAAGACACAGACTTGCAGGGAATAGCTGTGGGGGCCACCTGGATGGGAAAGGAGTAGGGTTCCATAGCTTCTGCCCACCTCCTCCTTGTTCTGAGTCATCTTTTCTGAAGAGAGGGACAGAATGGTGAAGCACTTGTCACCATGGACACGGACCAGGCTACTAGTACATGGTTGGGAACAAACTGAGCAAGCTGGCACAGCCTGGGGCCAAACTGGCTGCAAAGTAATAGCTACCCTGTCCCAGGAGGGAGGTGGGCAGGCGGGGGCTATGTGAATCAGGGAGCATGCAGTGCCCAGTCTGACTGGGATCATCCTGTCACCTGGGGTGAGAGCTGCCTGGAGGCTTGGGGGTGGGGTGGGCACTCCCTATGGGCTGTGGAGCTTTGGGAGGACTTGCCATCACTGAGCTGTTTGGTAGGATGTGCAGAGTAGGGTGGCCTATAGGTGGAGATCAGAAGGCAGACTCCTTGGGAGTCTTCGAGACACTATTTGGAGGTCAGAGTCACCTTCCAGAGACCTAAGAAACCCCATATCGGGGCAGGTGGAGATGAGAGTGGTACAAGGAGATGATGTTTCATCAAAGGGAGACGTGGCACCTGAAACATTCTCAGCTGACCAGGGACCAGAAGATCTTGACATCACCCAGCTGGGGGAGTCTTTGTGCCCACCAAGCCCAGCCCTGAGTGGCCCTCACATTCAGGCTTGCAGACCTGTTTTGCAAGGTGATTTCCAATCTGGGCTTCAGGAAGACATGGACAAAAGCACAGCCACTCTAAGGAGCAGCCCCTGGGAAAGACAGTCACCTCCTCTAAGCATCCCGGCCAGACTGGCCAGCCCACTAGGGCCCTCGCCCTCACTCTTCAGAGCCCAGCCTGGGAGCACAGTTTGCCCTGGCTCATGCTACCCATGCCTGCCCATGCTGGCTTCACATCTACAGGCGGGTGGACTGTCACATATAGACATTACCTCCCAAAGGGGCTTGAAAATTCCTTCATTGTGAATAACTGTGCTGACCCAAGCGTCTGCTGACGTCACCGCAGCAAACCAGCCTGAGCGGATACTAAACATGTACACAGCATCTCAGAGCTCTTACAGGGCTGCAGGATGCTCTGGGAGTTGGTGGCCATGCAAGAGGTTCTCACTGGGCAGAATCAGCTCTGCTAAGAGGAACCAACTGAGTGTGTGTGCAATTGACGCTGGGGGTGGGGTGGGGGTGGGGTTGTTCAGCATAAAGAACAAGGAGTGTTCAGGTCAGCCAGCCCACTGGCTATGGGTGGCCATGCCAGGTGGCCCCAGCAACAGCCTGGGTGTCAGTTGAGGATTGGGCCTGCCAGTGAGCCTCAGGCTGTCTTTCCGAGGGCTGGGCTGGTGTACAGGATCGCCTGCTGCGAGGGCGGGGCAGCATGGAGTGGCTGCTTACAAAGGGCCACATGTGGGGGGTGGTAGACATCTTGGAATGAAGGTGCAAGGGAGGAACAGAGCACAAGAAAGACTCCAGGGCTCAGAGTTAGAGGCAGACGGGGAAATTGAGGCAATCATTCATGCGGACAGTTTGTGGTGGGTGAAAAGGCACACTTAGGTCATGGGGGCAGGTCAGGAAACGTGGTAGGAGAATGATCGGCCTCACATGCGACAAATGGTCAGGAATGGAACTGCACTCTCAAAAGCCACCTCGCTTCTAACCGCGGTGTGGAGGGGTTGTCCACGCCACTCCTGTGCTCTTCCCTCAGTACTCAGCTGCTCGGGAGCCTCCCTGCCAGAAGGAACACTGGGATCCCAGCACCTAGACTAAGTCGAGAGGGGGCGTTCCGGAAAGTTGTGGCCTCCTGCTGTCCACAGCCGACCGCGCCCCGCCTTCCCCGCCCCGCTCTCCACTCTTCCGGCCCGGAGCGCCAACAACACACCGGGTAGCATTGGGCTCTGAGCGGCTGGTTTACGGGGCTCGGCGCTCGCTCCGGCCCAGGTGCAAGATGTCCAGAGCTCCTAGCTCTGGGCCTTACACAAGACACGAGGGACATTGGAGTCACCTTAAGGAGAGTCGGCCGTGGGTGTGGGCGGACAACGTACCTGCAGATTCAAGCTCCCGGCTCCCGAGCGGGCAAGAAGACCAGGTCCTGGCGGCCTCAGGGGGCGGCCGAGTCACGCGGCGCGTCCAGGGCTCGGGGCCGCGGGGCAGCGGGAAGAGCGGATGGCCGCTGGCGCGCACATTTCTCGGCCTTTTCTAAGGGGTCCACCGTCGGGGCAGGTCTCAGATCCAGTGCAGGGCAGCAGCGTGATCCCGAGAGAAAGGGTCCTCGGTGTCCAAGTGCACAAAGTCGAGCTGGGGGGGCGCAGAGGAAGACAACCCCCCTCTCCCCTTGACCACTTTGTCCACGCCGCGCGCTCCCCAGCAGTCGCGGCAGTTCGCTGGTCTGTCTCCTGACCGAACCTTTGGAAAAGGAAAGGCGTGCAGGGGGGCTGATGGAGACGCGCAAGGCGCATTCGGGACGAGTTGGACACGGCCAGACCGAGCCCACCCGCGGCTCCCCTACCCCGCTTCCTCCCCAGAGGCGCTCCCACCGGCCCGCATCCGCGTGATCCCCACCCGGCCCCCGGCTCCCGACCCCCGGCCCTGGCGCTTACCTGAGGTTCAACCGAGACGCACTCCCGAGCGCCCGCGGCCACGCGGTGACATCAGCGCCCAGGGCTCCGGCTCCGACCCCACCTCCAGGCTCCGGCCGCTGCGGGGGAGGCGCCACGTCCGGCCACCGGGGCGGGAGCTCAGAGTCGCGCTGCCGGAGAGTCGCCCGCCCCTTCCCAGCGTCGGCCTAGTCCTGGACTCAAAACTTAGACTCTCTGTCCCTCACGGACACAGGTCACTTGCTCTGGGTAAGACTGAGAAGTTGGGGGGCCAAGGCAAGGAGGGGTTATGCCACAAGCTCATTAGCCTCTGCCGGCTCATCCAGACACAGGTGATGTACAGACGGGATCCCTAGGGGCCCGGGCACCCACCTCCATGGGGAGATCTAGGGTGGGCCTCCAGGTCGCTAGAAGGCCACCTTCTTTCAGCTCAAGCTGGGCCAAGAAGACAGAACTGCCCCGGAGCTGGTGCCTCCACCCCTGTCTCTCTGATTACTGTTCAGACGGTAACTACCCCTAGACCAACTCTTCCTCCAGACCCCACTCCTAACTCCTGCACCCCTTTGAATTCCACTATGGGCACTTGTTTTCTATTCGTGCCCCTTTGCTTTCCATGTCTCCCACTACCCACCCAGCACAGTCTCGGCCCTCCGGGCAGCCTGCGACAAATGCAATCACCCCAGCAGCTCTCAGTGGATCCTTTGGGTGCTGCATGTCTGCTTAACAAGCCCGAGTTGAATATGCACACCAGAGTCTGGCTCTCAAGGCCTTCATCATGGGGAGCCATTAGCGTCCTCTTTGGTTCCCAGCAGTAGGAAATGGCCAAGCCCATGAACTCCTTCAAAGAATGCTCTGCCTCCATGTGACACGATTCTCCCCCACCCTCCTCTGGAGATCCGGAAGTCCCCCTCCACCTACTGTTCAAACGTTCTATCCTGTGAGCACAAGCTCTGACCAGAAACGTTCCATTTCTGGAAAGGGTTAGGGGGCTCTGTGGTAGTTATATAATCTGCTGTCAATTTGAGAGTCTTACGAGTGAGGGGGTGGAGTTTACCTGTCAATCAGATCGTAGCCAATGAGGCCTCTGTGCGGCCATGGCCTTCTCCTGAGGATTCTGGGAACTCTTGTATTCCTCCTTGGAGGTGGGAGACAACTCTTTCTGAGCTCACTCACGGTGAAACATTTCTGAGGAGAAGCCACATGAAGCTACCCTGAGGCAGTTAGAGTTTCTGGAGTTGAAGGAACCACGTGGAGATCCCTCCTCTTCTTTTTTTTTTTAAATCGTTTTATTAGGGGCTCATACAACTCATCACAATCCATACATACATCAATTGTGTAAAGCACATTTGTA